TGGAGCCGTGGGGTCCCTGTGCTTGGGGCTGCTCTATCTCCAGCCAAACGCTTTCTCCGGAGGGTGCGGAGGGGACCATGCCTTCTCCACCACAGCTTGTCCTCCTGCTGCTGATGCTGCTGGGACCAGGGGCTGCGGCGATGCAAGGCAGGGCTGGGCAGCCTGGGGAAGGCATCACCCACCATGGCCAGGGTGCAGATGGAGGTAGGACTCTGCCGACGGTTTCCTGGGACAGTCCAGATATCCAGGTGATGAAGGAGAGGCTGCGCCGGGGGACAGAGGAGGACTCCAAGTTGGTGCAGCAGTACGTGCCGGGGGTCCGGGTGGAGTTCCCACGGCCCTTGAACTCTGCCAGCCTACACCCAACCAAGGCCATGCTGCCATCCAGCACGGACCCATCTGAGCAGCAACAAGGGGTCCCCACGGACGGGGAGGGGGCAGAGCCGCGAGCCAACCTCACCACCGTGTCCGACAAGCGGTTGCAAATCCAGAACCCCTTGTACCCAGTGACGGAGAACTCCTACAGCGCCTATGCCGTGATGTTCCTGTCCCTCATCGTCTTCGCAGTGGGCATCATCGGAAACCTCTCCGTGATGTGCATCGTGTGGCACAACTACTACATGAAAAGTGCCTGGAACTCCATCCTGGCCAGCCTGGCTTTCTGGGACTTCCTCATCCTCTTCTTCTGCCTGCCTGTGGTCATCTTCAATGAGATCACCAAGAAGAGGTTGCTGGGGGACCTGTCCTGTCGCATCGTGCCCTTCATGGAGGTAAGGGGCTGCACAGGGCCCTGGAGGGCTCAAGGACTTCGGTCCTCTCTGCCTTCTTGCTTTGGGGGCAGTCTATGCTACTCGTGGCCTGGCGCAAAGGCGGTGTGCCCCAGAGAGCCCCATCATGGGGCACAGCAAGAAGCCAAGGGATGGTCCCGGTATTTACCTTCCCTTTGCCTCTGCCCTGAACCATTCCTCCGGCTCTGCAGCCAGCAACAATGCTGCCAGGGCTGGGAAGAGCCCATGAAACCCTCCTTTGTCCAGCTGCATGGGGACCATGGGGTCCCTCCATCTGTCTGTCCCTGTCCCAGCCCAACACCTCCCACCCTGTGGGCTCAGCCCCACGGTGTACTGGCCCAGCACTGGCCCGTGGTGGGATACTGAGGACGACCCCAGGGCAGGGAGCCGCAGGTGGAGCAGTGCTGAGCAGCACTGCGGTGGGAGATCCCAGCAATGAGGTCTGGGAACCTGGGATCTTTGCTTGTCCTCAAGCCTCACGCATGGTGGGCTGGGCTCGTTCGGGGTGAGCTGGGGACCCACTGAGAAGGCTACAAGGACTGTGGTGACAGGGGAAGGCAGAATGAGCAAAAATGCCCCAGATGGCATGATTTTACATAGTCCTGCTCTTGTGTTGGAAACAAACCCTCGCTGTGGGTCATCTCCCATCCTGCAGGGATGCCTGCGATCAGGCTGCTCCCCTCCGGACCCACGTATGACAGACAGACCCAACCTGCCTGTGCGTGTTGTCTGCTGCTCCAAAGCCCAGTTTATCGAAGAAGGGTGCAAACACAAGTTTGGAAGAGATCAGGTGTCAGGTCCCTGGAGATCTTCTCAGGCTTGGTCAGGCCAGACGGGGTTCAAAACCTGCCCATCCCACCAAGTGCCTACTCCTGTGGTCAGTGCCCCCAACACAACATACGAAAACCAGCGGCAAGCTGAGGCCATGGCTTGTGCTGGAGGGCCCAGGGGCTGCTGCCCTTGCTCTTCCCAAACCTGATCAGGTTATGTAGCAGCACTGACATCCCTTGCCACCCATGCCCAGGCCAGCCCTGCCCTCCCAGGGCTATCACCACACTGAGTTGGGACCTGGTCTTCTGTCATCACCAGATCTGTCTGTGCCCATCACCAGGACTCAAGCCTGCTCAGAGAAATAACAGCTGGAGAGGACAGAGAGCAGGTCTTGGCACTCAGACACAGCTGCAGGGACCTCGGTCATTACAGGCAAAGAAATGGTCCCAAGTCATTGACATGTCCCACCACAACCCCTCCACAGCATCCCCCTCCCTGGTCCAGCTTGTGCAGGAGGGCAGGACTCGCAGGGTGCTTGGGTGCAGGACCTGGCTGCATCCCACTCCCTGGGTGGCTGGATTATCCTCTCCTGCTTCATCCAACAGCACGTGCAGGTTGGGGTGACTCCAGCACAGACTAAGGGGGTAGATGTGGGCCTGGATGGGCTGGCACAGCCCCCACTGCCAGGGTGAGGTGGGCAGGTCTGAGGCCACTGCTGCCACCGGTGATCCCACTCTGTCCTGCTGTTCTGTGCCCTGCTGGCATCGTGACAGTCAGCTCCCCCCTGTCAGTGCCTTTCCGGAGGGTCTGCAGGGGCATGAGGGTCCCTGGATGTTCACAGACACCTTGGCTGTGCACACCCCTAGCAGGGGACCCTGGCAATGCTACTGGGTCCTTTGGGTGCAAGCCTGGGGTGGTGGACCTGCACCCTGGGTATCCTGCCAGGCACAGCCCTAAACCTGCAAGTCACAGCCCAGCACAACAATGTGGTGTTTGCTAGAAGAGATGTGCAGCCCCCGCCTCTCTGCACCGTCTCCTTTGCTCAGCAAGCAGGAACTGCTCATTTCTGGAGGTCTCCCACGCCAGCCTCTTACTGCATGAAGTGTTTCTCCCATCCCTGTCACAACCAGGTGGAAGGAGGACTCAGAGAGGGACAATAATATGGATCCACGTTTGCCCAGGCAGGCAGGCTCAGCACCCCGGGTAAGGATGGGAAGGAAATGGTGATGTGCCCAAACCAGACCCCTTCCTGAGTAGGATCTGCCATGGCCTGTCTCGGGGCTGCTTGTGGGCTCCCTGGCCATGTCCCTGTGGGAGAACCCTGGGGGTGGCACCTCTGGGTACAGCAATTCAGCAGCACCAGGGTGCCCTTGGGACAGCTCGGTCCCCGAAGGAGGCAGGAAGGATGACGGGATGTTGGGGTCCTGGTGTGGTCCACCCAAGAGGCTGCGCCCCCTCTGCCACCCCAGCTGCCAATCCTGCCCTGCCCTCCTCCCTCTGAGCCCCAAAGCAAGGGCAGAAAGGGGCTTCAGAGCTTCTCTGTTCACCTGAAACCCAGTAGCAGGGACCCTTCAGCCTGGGTGGGAGGGCAGGGCCAGGCCAGAGCCAAATCCCCAGCAAAGAGTCAGCCACGAGAGGGGAATCAATCTGTGGTCCGGTAGTTGATGTTCAGCCTTTCTGTATGGCACTGCAAGCGTTTCAGGCTGCTGGATGAACTCTGTAAGGAGCAAATCTTCTGTCCTCTGCTTTGTAGCTACTCAAATGCCCTGGGGGAGGGGGCACAAAGCCAGGTTTTTGGAGCAGAGCTGGCCACATGGGCTCCTGGTGACAGGCGGCGTGCAAGGATGTGCCTGGGGTGACCAGCGGCACCAGCCACATCCCTGCACTGGGGAGGGATGCTCTGCCATGTTTGAATTACATGCCAGAACCAAGGGGACCAGGAAAGAGAGAAGAGACTGTGGCAGGGTGTAGGGCAAGAGGAAAGGCAGCAGCACAGCAGCGCTGAGAGGGCTGCAAGTACCAGCCAGGGAGCTGGGCAAGTGCACTGGGTGCTGGTTGTGGGGCAGAGCAAGGGTGCTGGATGCGCAGGGTGGCTCTGGGCATTGGGCAGAAGAGCTGGGACATGAGCAGCATTGTTCGGTGGTGGGACTGTGTGTAGGATGGTGATGCTGGGCTACTGCCCTGATGCTGTGTCAAGGGTGATGCTGCTGCCCATAACTGAACCGTGATGCTGGGTGCTTGGCATCGGCGCTGGTCATGGCTGCTGAAGGGGCCAGCCCAGGACCACTGGAAAAGGCTGGGGGTCACAGGGAGGGGCAGTGCCAGACCTGTTTCGGGCTGCTACCTGGGGCATCATGCAGAGCTTTGGGAGGTTTCCTGAGTGGTGGGAAGGTCCTTCAGCACAGGGTGACGTTTGATGGCGTTGTGAGGCCAGGAATGGCGACGGGGCTGGGGGGCACCAGCATGTGACTGTGGCATTTTCCTGGCCAAGGGCTTTGGGACTTGGCTCCGAGCAAAGCTGCAGCTCTGGGGCTGAGACCACGAATCCTGACTGTGACTCTCGGTGCCTTGCCAGCCCTCCGAGAGCCACCATGATTCCTCTGCCTCCTTTGGCCTCTTCCCTTTGGCAAACGGGATGTTTTTCCTGCCCTTCTCAATGCAGCGGAAATTGCCCCAAGCTGATTTTGTGACAAGGACGCCTTCAACTCGTTTCGCCTGTCTGGGAAGCAGGCAGTCGCTCTGCATAGCAGGGCAGGGACCAGCCAGCTTGGGGCAGCTGGGGGGGCCATGGGGACCCTGGGAAGGTGCTGGTGGGTGTGAGAGTCCCTACTTTTCCTCTCCAAAAGGAAAATCCAGAATACAGGAAAAGCCTGAGAGACAATCCTGCTATTCCCACCCTGGCTGGATGGACCGACATCCAGCAAAGCTTCCCTCTTCTGGAGAAAAGGACAAACAGGTCAAGGGACATTTTTATCCACTGCCCTTTCACGAGTCACAGAAAAGTGGCTCTAACCCGGGGCTGTAGTCACAGGCTGCGACCTCTCCACAACCTTGGAGGAAGGGTCTCAGGCTGTGGTCTTGGGTAGCCAGGGGTTTGCCACCAGGCTAGTGCAGTCAAGCCCCCTGTGTTGTCGCTGCAGCAAGGTCCACTTCTTCTGCCTCCCCCCTCACCAGGTATCGTCGCTGGGAGTCACCACCTTCAGCCTCTGCGCCCTGGGCATCGACAGGTTTCATGCGGCCACTAGCCCCCAGGCCAGCGCCCGGCCCATCGAGCAGTGCCAGTCCATCATTGCCAAGCTGGCTGTCATCTGGGTGGGCTCCATGACGCTGTCGGTGCCAGAGATCCTGCTCTGGCAGATGGCACAGGATACATCGCCCGTGTCTGGTGTGGCGACGGAGTATTGTGCCATGAAGCCCTCGTCCAATCTTCCTGAGTCCATCTACTCGCTGGTACTCACCTACCAAAATGCTCGGATGTGGTGGTACTTTGGTTGCTACTTCTGCTTGCCCATCCTCTTCACTGTGAGCTGCCAGTTGGTGACCCGGAGGATCAGTGGCACCGAGAAGAAGACGGAGTGCCGAGGGACCAAGCACAGCCAGTGCGAGAGTCACTTGAACTGCACCATCATCGGGCTGACCATCATCTACGGGCTCTGCACCACCCCTGAGAATGTCTGCAACATCGTGGTGGCCTACATGTCCCCTGATATGTCCAAGCAGACCTTGGACCTGCTCAACCTCATCAACCAGTTCTTCCTGTTCTTCAAGTGCTCGGTGACCCCCGTCCTACTCCTGTGCCTCTGCAGACCCCTGGGCCAGGCCTTCATGGACTGCTGCTGCTGCTGCTGTGAGGGCTGCGGCCCCGACACTGCCTCCAGCGAGGGCAGCGCCGACAGCAAGCTCAAAACAGAGATGTCCTCCTCCATCTTCTTCGACAAGCCCCGGGAGTCCCCTCCACCCCTCCTGGCCCTTGGCACGCCTTGCTAAGTGTAACCGGGGAGCTGTAGAGATCGGTCCACCACCTCCTCCCAAGACCAAATGTTTTGCCATTAGTGCCCGTGTCTGGACGTGGAGTAAGCAGAAGAGACAGCTCAGGGGGCTTTGCCATGGGCTTCAAACCCCATGTTGGGCAAGTGGGGCTTGAAACCCCAGTCCCCGTGGCTACATACCTTGCCTCTGCCCAAAGGCCAGCAAGGACATCAGCACCCTCCCATCCTGGCTGCCTGGCCAGGCTCAGAGGGGTTGCTGCTCTGGAGATGAAGTTGTGCCAGAAAGGTCTCATCTGAAACTACGGAGGGTTTCCATGGCGGCTTGCAGAGGACATAGCAAACACAAACTGCCCTCGTCCTGTCCCGTCCCCTCCTGCCAGCCCCCTCCACAGTAGGAGAAGGTCCCAGTGCCCTGTAAGAGCTCAATAAACCAGTAACCTAGAGCACGTCGCACATGCAGCCATCCGGCACCGCTGAGCAGAGCCCCAGGGAGCCAGCGCTTGGGGTTTGGATGGCTCTTCCCTAAAATCTGGGGGCTCTGGG